ACCCGTCTCGTTGGAGCTCAGGATTCAGAGATTGAGGTGGTGCCAGGCAATGTTCAGGGCCCCAGAAAAAAAAACGAACAGCTCCTGACTATCCTCTTGGCCCCCCAGATGCCCTTCGAGCAGGACCCAGTGGAACTTAACTTTTTCGTGAAACGGATGATTGAGGATTTGAACTCGCTCGCGGAACTCGAGGAGGGTGCGGATTTCGTGGATAGGTATGAGGGCGCCCCCCAAAGGCTCTTGCTGGATCAGGATCTGAAGGCCCACTTCTTGGACATCGACGTCTCAGAGCTTCGGAGTAAGTACCTCTCGGTTGCCGTGCCTCCTCCAGGCCACCATCAGCCCCCTCAGGATCCCGAAGATGAACCCCCACATGCTCGTGAATACCGATGTCATGATCTTCTCCCGAATGGACAGGAGTGTGGAGAGACGTTCGAGACCATTAGAGCCCTGCGAGTCCACCAATCTCGTGTTCGAAGAGCGGACGGTGTCGTACATGTTGAGAAGTTCGTGCAAAGTAGTATGTGTCCATGGTGTTCGTCTGGGTTTAGCAGTCGGGACTCAGCGGTATCACATGTGCGCCATGCTTTCATTCAGAATCGGTGTCTTACGGATCATGCCATAACACCACAAAGTGTACCAGATGAAGTTGAACTTGTATGCCCTTTGTGCGAACAGCACTTTACTTCTCTGGCATTATATCACATTCATGTTCGGTCGCATGTGCCAGGGCCTCGAGATATTCATTTATCAGTAGCTCGTTCGGGGCTCGAGATCATCCCAGAACTGGCCGCGAGGTTCGGCCACCTACCTCTCCGTGGACGAAGAGGCCATGCCCCTCGAGCTCGCGCCCCCGCCAGCGCAGCGGCAGCGCAGGGAGGAGCCCCTCGGCAAGGCGCTGAAAGAGGCCGACAAGGACAATCTGAAGGCGATGAAGGATATGATGATTCTCGTAGCGAAGTTGGGACTGGCAGCCGAGTATCAAGCACGTGTGGCGAGAGCAGTATCGGACTTGGAGGTGTGCGTGTGCCCGTTGTCGGTCGAGATGGCGCAGGCTGGCTTGGATGCGGGTCGCGGCTACGCGCAGCAAGCAGCGGGAGTGGCCGAGGAGGATCGCGAGCAGCAGTTGGGTCTCCCGCACACGTCGATATTCTTGGCCATCATGAACAAAGCCGAGCAACAGGCCGTGCAGTTGAGCGGCCAGGCGAAGACGGACTTCGAGCGCTACACTGCCAACTACACGCAGATAAAGGAATCCAAGGGCATGCAGGCCCTACATCACGCGTTGCAGAAGGACATCCCCTACTGCCGCGTGAAGAAAACGCACGCGCGGGACTACGCGAAGATAGAGATCAAGGTGAACAGATCGGCCGTAGCGTGGCCGGCTTGGGAGCATGCCAAAACGTCGTTGAGCAACCAGGGCGGCATCTTCAAATGCGGGATGGCGCCTTCATCAGACATAGCGCGCCGTGCGCAGCAGGTGCTCGAGGAGCTTGGCGAGAGTCGTTCGCACGAGGAGAGGTACCGATAGCTGGCTCGCGCTCTTCTTCGACTGCGGAAAGAAATACTTCTGATGGCTCGCTTTCTTCGGCTGCGAGAAGAAATACTTATGCTGGCTCGTTTTTTGCTTCGACTGCGGAAAGAAATACTGCTGGCTCGTCTTCTTCGACTGCTGGTGGAAATACTTCTGCAGGGCTCTCGCTTTCTTCGACTGCTGGTGGAAATACTTCTGCTGAACCCCGACAGCTACGTCGAGCAGCTGAGCGACTTCAGAGAGCGGGATATGAGGCCGCCCTTTTTGCCGCTGCTGATGTTTCCTCTTCTCCTCCTCCTCCTCCTCCTCCTCCTCCTCCTCCTCCTCTTCCTCCGTCGCGTGAAGTAGTGTATCTCGATCGGCACGCTCGAGTTCAGAGCGTTCGTCGGGATGTAATTCGTCGTCGAGGCTGATGGCACCCCCGCCGAGGCGCCCCGTCTGTGGGGAGGGCGTCCTCTGCCCCCTTTCGGGTGCCTCGGGGGGGGGGGCTTCAGCTTCGGGCCCGAGCAGGCTGGGTCACGAGGCGGTGTCCCTGCCCTGCTCTGGCCTCCTAGGCTCCATAGGCCGTGTAGGAGGTTCGGAGTGTAGGGTCGGTGGGTTCGATGGCCTTGTAGATTTCTTGTCGAGTAGGCCGAACTCCAGCCGATTTTCAGCACGTCTTCGTCCGATCGTAGCACTAGCGCACGCTGTAGAGCACATTTAGCAGCAGAGCAGAGACATATGGGACCAGGAAGGGCATTCATTCATTCCTCCTCCTCCTCCTCCTCCTCCTCCTCCTCCTCCTCCTCCTCCTCCTCCTCCCACGAGGGGGCCAACGGAGAGGGGCGCTTGGGCCGTCGTGAGCATCCTGGGGCGCTCGCACCGCCGCGGCTGGGCCCGCGAAAGGACGATTCCATCGGGACGGGCGCGGAGGCGCCCCGGGCGGGGGCGCCGCCGTCGTCGCCACTGGCCTGCCTGCGGCTCCTGGGCCTCCGCCGGGGGGGGGCGGGGGGGGGCGGGGACCGTCGGGGGCCTCCGCAGGGAGGGGCGGAGGGGGGCCTCGGGGACCGTTGAGGGCCTCGGGGCCTCCTCGAGCTCGGGGCGCTCTCCTCGCCACGGCCAGATCCGCCCCTGGGTTCTGGTCAGGGGAGTCGACTTCTGAGGGGCACCTGGCGCCCCCCCTATCGCTGCCCTTCGATCGTCAGACCTGTGCCCATCTCCAGAGGGGGTTGGGCCGCCACCGCTGTCCGACTTGCCACCCTGAGGTTGGGATGGGGGCCCTCTCCGTCGGCTGTCGCGGCGTCCACCTCCACCTCGAGGGGGTCAGCGGGCTGGCGGCGATGGGGAGCAGTTGCCCGCTGGGGATGGGATCAGGCCCGACGATGCTGAGGCTTACAGGCATGCACAGGGCTCAAGAAAAGCTGTGGTTTTGGATGGGTGCACCCGCATGGTCTACGCGTCGGGGCTCTCCACCTGGGAGTTTTCTGGCGGCGAGCGAGGGGAGGAAATGAGAAGGAGAAGGCCTTTTCAGAAGGCGGCGGGACTTCTGAATTCGGAGAAGTTGTTTCTGTATTCGGGGAAGGCTGAGAAAACTTCTCAGACGGCCGGGAGACTTCCGAACCTTGTGAGGAGGCCTTCTCATTCTCACTCTCCCCCGCGCTCGCCGCCAAGTTCTGTGTCGTGTCAAGGCTCTCCACTTTGGGCTTCCTTTTGCCTGGGCATCTCCCATCGGCCCTGGTAGGGCTCGGTTCGATTCCTCCGATTCGATTCGACTTCGATGGCTTCCGAGTCCGATTCGATTCGATTTCGATCCGATGAAGTTCGATCGCCGATCCGGCCTATCGATTCGATTATGAGCTCTCCTGCCCTGGGCCTCAGGCGCAAGTGGCTCGTGCTCTTGGCCCACGTATTTGCTGTGGCCCGCGCTTCGACCGCGCTCCGAGCGGCGTGCGTGTCCTGGGCACCGCTTCGCTCGGCTCGCGTGCGTTTCGTCTCGGCGAGGGCCATCGAGGAGCATCCTGGCGCATCGAGCCACGAGAAGCACGCACGACACCGAAGCATGCACGGGAAATGGACGTCCGAGCGAGGAGCAGCCTGGATCGCCGAGCCCGAAAAAGAGAAGGCACGCACGGCGTCGACAAACGCGCGGGAGATGGACGTCCGAGCGATGGCAGGTGCCCTCCTGCCGCGGGCCCCGTGCCCCGATGCGTCAGCCTCTTGCTCTTCGTCGAGCGGGTGATGGCAGATGGCCGCGCGCACAGCGGGGACCCATGCCGAGAAGCACCCTGCTTGCCTCCAGGGTGCCCTGGGCACCTTGGGTTTCGATGGTTCTGCTGTGGAAAGCGTGGCGCGCCCACGCCAAGGCATCCGTGGACGTCCTGGGGCCTCAAAGGTTGGGTTCCTTGTGGCAGGCTTCTCGTGGCCCGGCCTCCCCTGGACAGTCGGGGCCCTGAAGAAGGAACCCTTTTGGTTGGGGAGGGGCTCCGCGTTTCCTAAGTGTTTCACAGCTTGCCTCAGATGTTCCTTATGTTTTCGATCGGAAAGTGAAGTTTAACTTATGGAAAAAAGGGGCCTCGTTCCTTATTTAGGGTTCCTTAGGTCAACGCCCCGACTGTAGCCTGCCTGGCTCGAGGCGCGGGGGGCGTCCGCCGGAGCGGCTGCCCGCCGCGCGGGCCGCCCGCGCCCCGCCCATGCCCTTCGGCAGCTCGGACGCGCTGAACCAGACCGACCCGTCCCTGAAGATCTGGGTGGGCAACCTGCCGCAGCAGGCCAACGGAGACCATCCCGGCGGCGCGCGGAGAGGAGGGCGGGGCGGGGGTCCATGCATGCATCACTCGGGGGCGGCAACGAGGGGGGCGATGACTAGGGGGGGGGATATCATGGCGGGGGCCATGGTATTTCACCAGATGTCATGCCGCCTCTTCTTGAGTCATTACGTCCCTGCCTGGCCTCCCCGCTGGGCCGCGCACATGCCGCTGGTCATGATTTGCACCCCCCCCTCTTGGACACCCCCCTCTTGGCCGCTCCCGAATCACCGAATACATTCCACTTCTCGCAGAGGGTCTACTTGCAAGCGTCCGAAGACATACATGTCTGGCTCGATGTAATTGATCATGAATCCCCCGCGGCGGATCCAGGCCATTTGCGAGCAGTTACGCTGCGAGTAGTGGAACGCGCTGGTCCAATGCAAGCGGGGGTCAGCAAGAGCGCCGGGTCTTGCAGGGTCCTGCAGGGCCACGGCCGCACTGGCCCAGCTGTGGGTGCAGGCTCCTGCGGGATCCTGCGAGATCCTGCAAGGCCCGACTGACCCGGGTCTGCATTGGCCCGGGTCAGCAGCTCCCCGAGGGGGCGGGCGGCCTTCGCAGAAGGCACTTGGGCTTCTCGGCGTGGATCGGGGGCTGCTCGGAAGGCTCCTTTTCGCAAGGCGGGAGGGCCTCTTAGAAGACCCCCTCGGTCCGCCCCGTCGCGCGCGCCGCTGGCCATCTTCGGGCACACTTCCGCCGGCTGCAGGAGCCGAGGCTCGCCGAGGTGCTGTATCCAGGCGTGGGGTGCGTCACCTACGACTCGCAGGAGGCGGTGGCCGCGGCCGTGTCCGCCTTCAACCACTCCGACCTGGGTGGCAACATCATCAAGGTAGATTCCTCTGCATCCAAAGGCTACGGCAAGGGCTGCGGCGGCAAGAAGGGGGGCACGTCGCCAGCCGCGCAGGCGCCGCCGGCGCCGCCGCCTCTCGACGCTGGCCTGGGCGGCGGCATGGACAAGGGCCAGAAGGGGCAGTTCGACAAAGGCTGCGGCAAGATGGGCGGGTTCGCGGGCGCCGAGTGGGGTGACACGATGAGCATGCCGTGCGGCACGGTGGATACATCGGGCGGTGGTGGCAAGGGCCGGGGCGGTTGCGACGGCGGCAGGGACGGCAAGGAAGGCAACCTTGGCAGCAGAGAAATGAGCGACGAAGATTCTCCTGGTGTCTTCAAGGTGACTGTGGAACCGTCGTCGCAGCTGGTGGGGCAGGGTTTCCCACGGGAGGCTCCAGGCATGGCCCACGACGAGGACTACGAGAGCCTCTTCAGTCAGGCTGGCCACGTCCTCGCAGACCTGGTCGGCAGCTTCCAGGAGTTCTGCACCCTCGTCCACGACCCCGACTGGCAGCAGTTCCCCGACGTGGCCGCGGCGGTGCAGGCGGGCGGAGGGCCCAAGGGCCGCCTCGCGATTGCCGCCTGCCCGAACGCGGGCAAGTGGGCCGTCGGCATAGCTGCGAGCTCGGAGAGCAGGGAAGCGGCAGCGAAGCTGGCCCTGGCGGTCTCCCTCGCGAAGGATGACCGCTCCGTCCTCGACAAGCTGCGGAGGCCTTATCCGATGTTTTATGCCGACGGTCCACGCCATGCCGCCGACCCTCGGAGGAGGCAAGGGAAGGGTGAGGAGGAGGAGGAGGAGGACGACGACGACGGCGAGCACGAAGAGTGACACCGGGGGAGCGTGGAGGGAGAGAAGGAAGGGGTTGCCTTTGCTGGATCCCGGTTGGTGCCTTCTCCGGGCTCTCGTGTGACCTCTTGCTGCATGATGCCGTTTCGAGCTTTGCTGGCCTCCCTCGAAGGATCTCGCGGCCGTGGTTCAGAATCGCAGGGCTGTCCCAGGGGCGTGCGGAGGCCGCCTGGCAATTGTCTTGGGCATTCTTGGAATCGTCGCTGAGGCCAGCTGGGGGCTTTGGGAGCCATCTCCAGGACCCCTTGGGCCGTCTGAGGTCTCTATTCAGGAACGACGTTAGAGGTCAGGCCCGAATTCTTGGACGGTCCCGTCGGCTGTTGTTAGTCCAGCCTGAAGAGGAAAGCTCGAATCGAAGTTAGTTTGGGAATTGCCGAAACACATGTATCATCTATCAAGCGCAGTGCTACGTCAAGAGCGTCGCGTTGATGCTACAGCATGGTATACGAAACCATTGTATTAGCTTGAGCGCTGTATACGTGGATGCGTTTCGGTTCGGACTCCCAGAAGACAGCAGTCATCGAGCATATGATACAAGCGGGTGGCTTTGTATTCCTAGCTGAGAGATCTACAGCAACAGCCAAGATAATACATATGGTTTGCAGTCATGCCATGTCGAAACACACACACGCACATTACTGCATTACCTTTTTGCAGTTCCCTTATGTTGCATGATTCTACGTGTTGGGGCGCAGTGGAGCAGCTCTGGGCAAGCTGGGGGGCTTCAGGTAGCACCTGCGCCCGATGTGCTCGTCGGGCCCCCCCCTTTCTCAGACGGCATGCCGGACGCCGGGGCAGGCGGGAGAGCGGGAGGGGGACCGCCCGATATCCCAATATTTCTGCACGAACGAAATGGGCACCGAAAGAATGGGTGCACTGCCCAACAGCAGTTCCTGTTTGTTTTGAACAGGACTCGCTGTCCGCGCCGCCGCGGCCTGTGTCCATTCGAGACAGAAGGCCGCCTGCCCAACAGCGGCCGCTGTTGGCTTGGGACAACATTTGTGGTTGGGCGTTGTACCCATTCTTTCCGTGCCCATTTCGGGCGTCCAAAATCCTGTCTGACCAGCTCGGGACGACCGCCCGCTGGCGAAGGAAGTGAGAGGGGAGCAGAAGGGGACGCGGCGGGGAAGAGGATGGACCAGCAGCAGGAGCAAGCAGTGCAGGCACCACGGTCGGCCGCTGCCTCGGTGCCCCAGGCAGCCGAACGTCTCACGTGCTTCTTGGCCGCTCGCTTTAGTAGAAAGTCCAGGGTTCGCTAGGGACTGGTTCCCTTTCAAAACAACTGAAGCCCTCCGAAAACCTTCGGGAAGGGTCCCAAGGGGCTTCTCAGAGGGTTTCGGGAGGATTCCGGAAGGGTTTTCGTCGTTTTGGGGGGAAACAAGTCCCTGGCGAACCCTGGACGTTCTAACGCCAGCTGGCGGGATCGGCGGATCAGCTGTGCATGGCCGTGCAGCCGGGCGACGACGGGCAGTGGCGCGGCACGGTAGGGGCGGGCAGGGGCACGCCTTCCGTGCGGGCGCTGCACTGGCTCACCCTGGCCCAGAACGCTGGCATCACCCAGGCCGGGCTCGTTTCGATGCCGCCGAATTCGACTCGATTCGTTTTCGAGGAATTGCGATTCCGATTCGATCCGACTTCGGATTCCGATTTGGGCTCAGATGTCTTGACGAAGGCCCACTAGGCTGCCGATTTCCGCCGATTCGATTTTTCCCGACGCGGCTGCCGATGTCCGCCGATCCGATCCATTTCGATCGCCGATACGACTTGTCGATGCGATTCTGGGCCCTCCTGCCCAGGCCGGTTTCCCGCCCGAGGCGCTGTGCATAGTGCACGGCGGCAAATCCGATGGGGGCGCCTTCGCCAATTCCCACAGCATCCTGTGCGAGTTGATGGAGGATGCGGGCGCTGTGGAATGCATCGACGATCCAGACTGGAACGTCACGCCAGAGGTCGGCGAGGCGTTGAAGGCGGCCCAGTGCGTGGAGATGCCCTTCACCGTGGCGAAGAGCAGGCTGTTTTCCGCCTGGGGCGTCGGCGTCGGATCTCGCTGGCAGTATAGGGAGACAGCGGCCAAGCTCTCCTTAAGCCTGTCGATCTGTGGGTCGACAGGCAAGCTGGAGCAGCTTTCGGAGAAGTATCCAGAGTTCCATGCGCTCTGCGACAAGGCAGGGCTGGTGGAGGCGGGGCTCGTGCAGCCCCCGTCCAAGCGGCGGAAGCCTCCCAGATTTGACCAGCTGTAGCCGCACGCTCGTGCGCATCCAAGTTCTTGGCATCGCTCGGACGTGTGCGTTTTTTTCTCGGCGGGGACCAGCGAGGAGCATCCTGCATCATCTAACGAAACAAGCACGCACGGAACCGAAGAGTGCACGGGGGATGGACGCCCGAGCGATGGCGAGAGCTCACAGGGCTGCAGAGCGGCATCCCTGCCGAATGGGAGCGAGCACCACTGGACGGCGGGGCGGCACGCCAGCTGCGCATCTGCGTGCGCCGTAGAAACAGGCGCGCTTACTTCCACGCTCGATCAACTCCACCACTTGCCTTACGTCGGGCCTGTCCCTCTACAGGAGGAACATTCAAAAGTAGTATTTAAAAAAAGTCTGGGGACTATTGTTTGAGTATGTTTTGCCATTTTGGAATAATGCTGGAGTATTTTTTATTTGTCGTCGAAAATCCCCCTGAAGGGGGACACGCCCGATTTAACACGTGCCCCTCATCCTCATCCTCTGGAGAGGGGGGTGGGCGAGGGGGAAAGAGAGGAGGAGACCGTGGGTGAGGAGCGGGAGGAGGACGAGAAAGGATGCGCTGGATGCGTAGAACTAGACCGAACCCGTGGGCCGTTGGCCGGTGCGGCCACATAGGCATCTCAACGTGCCAGAGCCCAAGGAGCAGGCTTCTTTTCGTGAGTGGGCCGGCCCAGCTCCCGACCACTACTTCGCAACCCCAGGCCCGTATCGCGTCCAAGGCGGCGACCAGCTGACCCAAAGTCCCCGTTTCCTCCTCAGCCTGGCGAGACAGGGCCACGGACTAATTAGGGCTGTCCGGTTGCATGCTTTCCAGACCGCCCAAGGGAAACAGCCATTCTCGTGAGCGGGGGCGTTGGCGCGGAGGTTGTCCCTTGACAACAGCAGAGCTCTGGCCGTAGCGCGCAGCACCCTGGGCTGCGGGGTCAGCCGCGCCGCGCGGTTCCCGAGCCCGCCGCGGCGCTCGGAGGACGAGGAGACATCATGGGTACATCTTGTCTCTCCCATCCCACGTGGTCTTTGCCATCTGTCGAGCCTGACGCCATTGAGGAGATGCAAGACCTACCATGCGACGCGCAAAGGGGCGTCATACCGGGAGGAGGCAGGGGAGGCGGCGGAGGAGGAGGTGTAGGGCGGGTGGGGGATGCAGCATGGATCAGGGAGCAGGCAGGAGGAAGGAGCACAAGGTGGGCGAGGGAGGGACGGCGGAGGAGGGGTGAGTGAGCAAGGATGGAGGAGGGAGGGAGGGGAGACGCCGTCCGCGGAACCTTGGCGATCTACCCGAGTCCGGTGATGTCCTGGGTTCGCGTTCAGTCACACACGCGCCCCGCCCCACACACACACACACACACACACACACACACACACACACACACACGCACACACACACACACACACACATCCCAGATCCTATCCTGCATCGCCCCCGGTCGTCCTCCATGCTTCCCCGCTTTTCCTCGTCGTTATCCTCCCTTCAAACCCCATGCCTCCATCCTCCATCCATACCTCGCCGATCGTGTTCCTCCCTCCTCCATCCTCTATCCGTCCACCACCTTCCTCAACCACGGCATTCTCTCATTGCATCGCCCTCCATAGTTCTCCATGCTTCCCCGCTCCACAAGACGAGACATCGATACCACCACTCTTTCGACCTCTGCCTAGAGGCTTTCTGGCCGGGATTCCGAGGCGAATCCAGCCACGGCGATGAGGGCCCCCCACCACAGGAGTCCCAGTGAGGCGCGAATGAGGGAAGGGTACCAGCTCGGCCAAACGTAAGAGTGACCGTTCGCCAGAGTGACCTTTGGTGCGGGCCCACTGGGGTCCCCCGATCGCTGAGCGCGAAGCGGTAGCGGCGGCTTGCGCGCCTGCTTCTGGCCCCCTCGCGTCCCTCCTGAGGCCGCGCACCAGAGGTCACTCCTTGCCCAGGGCCACTCACGCCTGGAAGCATCTTGGGACCATCCTGGACCATCTTGGAAGCATCTGGGTCAGCTTGGGACCATCTTAGGATCATCTTGGAACCATCTTGGGACGCGTGATTGGGACCATCTTGGGAACATCTTGGGACCATCTTGGAAGCATCTGGGTCATCTTGGAAGCATATTGGAGGCGTGCTGCCGACCAGCGTCGGCACAGTCGCCCCCGCCGAGCTCCCTTCGTCCTCCGTCGTCCTGCCTGCCCTCCTCGGCCGCGGCGTCCGGAGCCGGCCGCCCTCGTCGCCCGCGAGAGGACGGCAGCTGCAGCCTCTTCTGGAGGGAGGCGCCGGCGTGGGGCTGCACGCGGGGCTGGTGGTTCGCGGAGGAGGTGGGCGCGCAGCGGGGGCCCGTCTGGTGCGCGCTCGAAGAGGGCGACGCGGAGGAGAGGCGGAGGAGGGGGGGGAGGAGGGGGAGGAGGAGGAGGAGGAGGAGGAGGAGGAGGAGGAGGAGGAGGAGGAGGAGGAGGAGGAAGTGGAGGAGGGGGGGGGGAGGGGAAGGAGGGCAAGCTAGTTGCGCTCGCAACATATCTGATGTCCTAGCCCTCCCTCCCATCCCTTACCATGGCGTAGATCTCCTCTCTATTGGCACCGTCGGATGTTGCAGCATGGTACAGCATTACATGGCATAGCATGGCGTTGAATATCAACGCGTGGCATGGTGTACCATGGCGGGGCGACGCCCCAAAGTGGGGGAGTGGGGGGGGCTTCTGCGGCCAAAAAATCAACAGATCGACACCGAATGTGTAATCACTTCCGATGTTTTTTGTTCGGGGGTGGGGGGGGATGGGGGGGGGAGGGGCATTTTCTAGATTTTGGAGCAACCATTCCATGGCATGGCTTTGGAAATAATGATGCCAGCGCTGCAGCGGGAGCACGATTCGGAACGAGCGGAAGCGCGGAAATGAGTCCAGGACTGCAGCGGGAGCACGATTCGGAACGAGCGGAAGCACGGAAATGAGACCAGCGCTGAACGGGGAGCACGATTCGGAACGAGTGGAAGCCCGAAAATGAGGCCAGCGCTTCAGCGGGATGAAGAAAATCCCAAGCGAAAACCCAGTGCTTGGGAATCTTGTGTGTAAAAAGCAGTACGCGGAGGGGGGGCGGATATCTTCAGGACGTCATCACGGGAGAGAGGAGAGTGGTATTCATATTGTGTAATTGTGGAGGAGATGGGGACGGGGGAGGGAGGAGGGAGAGGGAGGAGGGGGAGGGGGAGGAGACAAGCTGGGTGCGCGCGCCACATCTAATATCATACATCATACCCCTCCCACCCGTCCCTTCGGGTTGCGCTGATGTTTTCTCTATATCCGCCGACTGGTGTCCAAGAGGACCTGGATCCCCAACAAAAATCACCGCGTGAATGCGGAATCTGAGAAAGGGGGGTGATGTACATTAGCGGCGGAGGAGGAGGAGGAGGAGGAGGAGGAGGAGGAGGAGGAGGTGGCCGGTGAGAAAAGGAGGAAGAGGATGCTGAAGGAGGAGGAGGAGCAGCAGCAGCAGGAGCGAGAGGAGCAGGAGGACCAGGGGAAGGAAGGCCTGGGAGGGGGCAGTGAGGGGGGGGCGACAGCGGCGAGGAGGGAGGCGGATCCAGAGACGTGGTCCGCGTTGGGGCGAGATCGCCGGTCTCAAAACGGGAGGAGGAGGAGGAGGAGGAGGAGGAGGAGGAGGAGGAGGAGAAGGAGGAGGAGGAGGAGGAGGAGGAGGAGGCGGAGGCGGAGGCGGAGGAGGAGGAGGAGGAGGAGGAGGAGGAGGAGGAGGAGGAGGAGGAGTAGGAGAGGCCAGCACCGCACCGAGGTCACCATGCTGAGTGGCATGAACGCTTCGATAGGAAACAAGCGCCAACCCTAGACGCAGCAGCGATGTTTCAACAAACCTTCCCTCCAAGTTTCCTTTTCATAGGTCCCCACAAGAATTCATTCAAGCGGCTTACGCCATTTCCCCGACCACCCGTGCAGGTCCTCTTGGAGGGCTCTAGGGGACATAAGGACTCTACGGAGCTTCTTGGAGGCTTCTGGGGGCCTCTTGGGTGCGCCTCGGGGGCCTCTGAGGGTCGACTGGGACCAACTTGGGGGGAAAGGCTTGCCATGTCAATTCGTATTCCCCGTCTTGGGCGCCCTTTTGGGCCGTCTTTGGAGCACCTGGGGCCGTCTTGTGGTCGTTTTGGACAGTCTTGGGGCCATCTTGGGGGCCTCTTGGGGACCTTGCGGGCCGTCGTGGGGCGATATTTGGGGCCCCTTGGGCCGTGTTGGGGGCTGTCAAGACGGCAAAAGCAAGCATGTAACAAATGTAGGTGTTTTTGTGGGAGTTTGCGTTTTTTGCCTCTTGACGTTCGTCCTCTCGGCGGTCCTCTTGGAGCTCATTTGGCCCGTCATGGAGATTCTTTGGCCTGCATGGAGGCTATCAAGGGTTGTTGTGAGGTCTCTTCGACGGGTTGGAGCCCAGCTTGCGCAAGCTTAGACGCAATCTTGAGCATCTGGAAAGCCACGGGCTCCAGATTTGGAGGCTCCGGAGTCCCCAGGGGTCATTGAGGAGCTCCACCCCACCCAACCCCCTTCAAACACGATATTGGACCCTAGCGAAAGGGGAAAGGAGGGAAAGGGGGAGGGGACAGCCAAGTAGCTAACACGCCTATTCACCCCCAGCCAGCGAGGGTTGGCGGACTCTCATTGCGGGAAGCGCCCAATTCGGGAAATCCTCAATCGTGCCACAACACGGCGCGGCGAATCAGCGCGAATGTTGCTGCTTGGCACTCCTAAATCGTGCCAGAGCGCCGCTCCTGGGATCGCAGCACCGCGAACAAGCTTTACTGCCGGACCCGCTCTCCATTCTTCTATATGCTGTAGACTCTGAAAGAACGCGCTCGGCGCCGGAGCGGCACCCACACTGAAGAGGGCCCGCCCTCCATCCCTGAGGCTGCCGTAGGCCTGCAGGACGAGTGGTGCGCGGCGCTGGCACTAGAACCGCCTCTTGAGGACGATCCGCCCTCCACTCCGTGAGGCTGCTGCAGCTCCCAGGTGCCAGGACCGCGCACGGCGAGGAAGTCTCGGGCGGCCCGCTCGGCCCGCCCGGCCGACGCGCGCGTTGGGGCGCGACGGGGCGGAGTTGTTTTTTGTTGAGGAGACGCGAGGAAGGAGGAGGAGCAGCGGCAACCGCGGGGAGGAGGGGCGGGGGTGGGAGAGGGAAGGGAGGGGGGACAGGGGGTAGGGTTCAGTCGGGCCCGTCCCTCTACAGGAGGAGTATTCAAAAACAGTCAAAGCATAGTCTGGGGACTATTGTTTGAGCATGTTTTGGCCATTTGGGAATATTTGTTTTGCATTTTTTATGCATCGTCGAAAATCCCCCTGGGGGGACACGCCCGACTTAAGGGTGGGGCGACCCAGAGGACACCGGGAACGTGCCGCCGGTGGACGGGTGGGAGGAGCCCAGGGGCGGCCAAACGCCTCCCAGCAGGTCGACGGTCGACCCCTCCTGCTCACTATCGGCTCGCAACCCTCCCCCCCCGTGGCCCCCCTGCCCGCATCCCAAGGGGGGTGGGGGGGCGAGGGGGCCTCACTGCAGACCACCCATGCGGGCGCGCAGGCGGCCGCGCTCCCGCGCGTCCCGGACGGGCGGCGGCACGAGAGCGCGAGGGGCACGAAGACCACCACCCGCGCGCCGCGCATGCACGCACGGGCGCTGGGGCGCGAGGGTCGGGGCGGCCGGGGCCACGGGAGGGCGGCGGCTTGGCCGGGCCCCGAGGAGCTGCGCTTCTGGGCCCTGCCCATGGACGCCCGCGTGCTCGTGCACGCGAGGGCGGTGCAGGCGGCGGAGCCGGCCCAGGGGCACGGCGCCGGCCCCGCGGCGGGCACGCCCCAGCGGTCCCCGTGCCTCGCCGGGGCCTCGGAGTGCGCGGTCAGCGCCTTCTCGGGCATCGGGTACCTGCTCCCGGCGGCGAGCGAGGGGGGGAAGCGAGAAGGAGAAGGCCTCCTCAGGAGGCGGCGGGACTCCTCAGAAGTCCTCGCGCCCTCTGCGAAGCGTTCTGCGCGTCTTCGGGAGAGGCTCCCGAGCCCTCCGAGCAGGCCCGCCCCCTTCCCCAATGCCCCCCCTCGCTCGCGGCCGATGCTCGCCGTCGCGATCAGCGCCTGCCTGGACTGCGTGCCAGAGGTCCCCGACCAGCCGCCCTCCGCGCGCCGCCCGGCGTCCGCGCGCCGGCAGCCGATGCCCGCGCGGGACCGCCGCTTCGGCGTCGACGCCGCGGGCGGCGCGCTGGCGCCGCCCACGGCCGAGGCGCTGGCGCGCGGGGAGAGGCTCGCCATCGCCAGGGAAGCCCGCGCGGCGAGGCGGGAGCTGCTCGCCGAGGCGGCGGCACCAGGCCAGCCCTCGGGTGCCGCGGCAGAGGCGGCCCTCGGGGCATTCGCCAGGCGCGCGCCGGCGGACCGCCCGCAGGAGGCGCTGATCAGGCGGCAGCTTCTCTCAGAGCTGCTCGACCTCGCGGGGCCAGAGCCTGCGCTGCTGGGCAACATCGCCGATCTCGAGGCCGCTCTCACCGCGCAGGAGTCGCTGGCCGTGGAGCTCAGGAACTGCCTTGGCGAGTACGCGGATCAGGCAGTTCAGCTGCGGGCCAAGATGGACGACCAGGAGAGGTCCTTGGCCGGCGCCGCAGAGGCCGTCGAGAAGGTCACGGCCGAGGCCTCGGCCCGCGAGGAGGACCACGAGCGGCAGATGCGCGCCCTCCGGGACGAGCAGCAGCAGCAGCTGCAGGGGCTCCGGGAAGAGCGCGACGCCCTCTCCGCGAGCTTCCGGGGCCAGCTGGCGGAGGCGCTGTGCCGGGCGGACGGCGCGGAGGCCGCGCTCCGGGCGGCCCGGCGGGCGGACGCGCTCGCGGAGGCCGAGCGCGTGCTGGCGCTGAAGAGGGAGGCCTTCCGCGACGAGGCCGCCTGGGGCATGGCGGTGCTGGGCGCGGCGGACGAGCAGGCCGTGCAGAGGCGCTTCGGGCTGCTGCTGGAGAGGCTGGACCCCGGCCGGGCGGGGTCGGCCTGCGAGGAGCTGGCGGCCGCCGCCGCCGCCGCCCGAGCGGCGCGCAGCGCCTGCGAGGGCGGGGCGGCTCGCGAGGCGCCGGAGGCCCCCTCCTGCCTCGCGGTGGACCTCTGGCCCGCGGCCCCCGAGCAGGCGCAGGGCCTCCGAGTGCGGTGGGATCCCCCGCTGCGGGGGGCGTCGGTGCAGCGAGGCGTCTTTGGTCGCTCGGCCGCCCTGGGGGCCCTGGAGCACCCAGCCAGGCCTTGCCCGGGTCAAGCCACCAGGCCGCAACGCGGGGTATTCGCAGGGTCACAGGATCCGACTTTTCCTCCTCCTCCTCCTCCTCCTCCTCCTCCTCCTCCTCCTCCTCCTCCTCCTCCTCCTCCTCCTCCTCCTCCTCCTCCTCCTCCCCCCTCCCCCCTCCTCCCTCCTCCCTCCCTGGCCACACGGCAACACACGGGGAAGGACTCCGAGACAGCTTGACAGGCACCACACAGAACCACGCCAGCGACGAATCCAGACGTTGGGGGGCCGCTACGTTCACCCCGTGGCACAGCACGGCGCCGTGTGCACATGGCACCATACGGGCAAGGGATCTGAGAGTTGTGGGCACTGCACCGTGGGGCACCTCATTACCAACGGATCCGAGTGTTGGGGGCATTGCATAATGTGGAAGCACATGAGCAATGGATCTAGAAGTTGGGGATTGGCACAACCGACGTCACGCAGTATTTATTATATGGCACCGAAGGGCACCACATGGTTGAATGATCCGAGGGCTGTGAGCTTGACACCCCGCCGCGTTTTACGGCACGAATTGCAACATGCAACGGATCATCCAAGAGTTGTTGGGCCGTACCGGTTGGTTTCTTAACGGCGTGGAGCGTTTTCACATCATTCGTTGTTGAGGAAAGTTGTGAAAGCCGGTTCGAGCGAAGTTTGTCTTGGTTGTTCTTGGTCCTTGGGCCCAAGGGCGGCCAATCGACCATGATGATACGTGGTGGCTGTTGTGGACCCCGCTTGCTCGCTGCCCGTCGTGGTCGCGACGCTGGAGGACATGTCATCGCCCCTTCTTTCTACATGTATTATACAGGCTTACACCACAGCCGCCGACCCTTCTATAAACTACTGCGCCTCCAGGACTGCATTCCACGAGGCTTGTCCGAATCATGACACGGCGCTCGACATCGTTCCTGCTGCCTCGTTGCTGTTATCGCATTTTCCGGGACCAACGCTTCGTCCCGATCCGTTCCCAGGCGGCCCCCGGTGGGCTCGGAGACGGCTTCCCGCTGCACGCCGAGGGTGTCAAAACACCTTCTCGTGGGGCTTCTTTTGTGCCTCTTGGGGGCTTCTTGGGGCCTCTTGGGTGCCTCGTGGGGGCTTCTTGGGGCCGCTTGGGTGCCTCTTGGGTCCTCCGGAGAGCTTCATTGGGCGCAGCGCTGGAATTCGAACCTCTCTTGGGCCCTTCTTGGGGCCGTCTTGGAGCTCTCTTGGGCCGTCTAGGGCGCCTCTTGGGCCACGTTGGAGTCATTTGGGTTGTCTGTGGGGCCTCCTGGGAGCCGCGTGGGCCGTCTTGGGGTGGTCCTGGGGGCCTCGTGGGGGCCTCGTGGACGGTTTTCAACGCCGTGAAGGCTAACAAGTTGGATGTGTTGAAAATGCATGTTTTCCCTAGGGGACGTCAAACTTTGGGTTTCTTGGGGGCTTCTTGGGAGGCCTTTTGGAGGCTTCGTGGGTTGTCTTGGCGGCCTCTTGGGCCGTTTGGAGCTCATCTTGGGCGTCTTTGAACGATCTTTCGGCGACTTTGGGTTCTCGTTGACCGTCTTGGCGGCTTCTTGGGAGGCGCCAAGTGCTGTCGTGCAGCTCAAGAGCGAGCCAGGGAGCCCAGACCGCGCCGAGTGAGTTCGGTCCGGGGCCACCCGGGGGCGGGAGGGGGGGTCAAAATCCCCGTTTGGAGTCCCAGGGGGGGGGATTATGGGGGGGGACAACCTCACACGCCTGGAGAACCATAAGGGGTCAGCGGATTCGAGTCATGAAATTTGCACCAGCATTGACTAATTATCGGAGGTCATTGCGGATTCCTTAGGGTTAAGACAATCCTGTCCTTCTACAGGGGGGATATTCAAAAAGAGTATTAAAAAATGTCTGGGGACTATTTTTAGAATATTTGTTGGGCCATTTTGGAGCATTTTGTTTGTATGTTTCATTTTTCGTCGAAAATCCCCCTGTATGGGGGACACGCCCGACTTAGCCTTAGGGCGGCGCTGGACCCCCTCCCCACACCCCTGGCGACGCCTCCAGCGCCGCCCACGGCGTGCTCAGCGCACAAGGGCAGAGGTGCGGCAGGGGGGTCCGGCGCCAGCCCAAAAAGTTCAGGCTGAAGCACCTCGTGGAGGGTTCTCGTTTTGAGTTCGCTTCCGTCCTGTTCTCGTGGGTTGGTCTTGGTTTGTGATTTGGGTTACCAGAGTTCTAGTTGATAAAGGGGACGAGAACGCACAGCGTTTTTTTGCCGCCAACAGTCCTCCTCCTCCTCCTCCTCCTCCTCCTTCAGGAGGGTTTCAGCCAGCAGATGGGCCGCTTCCTGGGCTGCTCGGAGCTCACCTCCTGCATTCTCTCCGAGCAAGAGCTGGCGGGCGTGGAGGGGTTCTGGGACCAGGCGCTGGCGACGTTGCAGGCGCGGCCGGCCAAGTCAGACCACATAAGAACAAACGCGGAATGATCACATCGGGGGAGTACAGCCGGGGCCCTGAAGAAGGAACCCTTTTCGTTGGGGAGGGGTTCCGCGTTCCTTAAGTGTTTCACAGCTTGCCTCAGGCTTTCCTTATGTTTTCGACAGGAAATCGAAGTTTAACTTATGGGAAAAAGGGACCTCGTTCCTTATTTAGGGTACCTTAGGTCAACGCCCCGACTGTAGGTCCCTGCACCGACAGGGTATGTCCAACGTTGATCAGGCCCCGAAGGAACCAACCTCCTTGCAAAAGGGCGCGCAGCGCATCCGTACTCGCGCGCCTCCCCAGGCGCCGTGGGCGCTGCGCCTCCTGAGGAAATATGCGCATCCACTCGCAAATATGTGCAATCAGCATGGGATCGGCTGTCCTACAGGGGTGTTCTTCTACTGGCCAGCCTCGTCGGTGCATGGGGATTTCCGTCGCCACAGGCAGGACGAATCCATGCACAGATGCGGCTTGGGAGCCTTCTGTGGACAGGCAAGGCCGACGGGGCCATCCGGGTCTGGCGGGGCTGCCTGGCCCCCCGTGTACCGCGTGCGCGCGGTATCGGTAGGCGCGTCCCAATCGCGGAGGCAGGGCGCCAGGGTTGTCGGGGGGCCGCTGGCTTCAATGCTCATGGCCTCCCTGCGTATGGTGTTTCTCTTGGCATCGCTCGGACGTGTGCGGTTTTTCTTCGGCGAGGACCATCGAGGAGCATCCTTGATCATTTGGCGAAAAGACCACGCACGAAACCGAAAAAAACACGGAATGGACGTCCGAGCGATGGCCAGTTTCTGGTTGTGACGGAGTTGCCTGGCTCGGTGGAACTCTCTGCGACCATGTCGGTGAATGGACGTATTCCGCCTAATCAGTCGTTTTCTGCGGGCCGCATGGATTTCCTAAAGTGTCTGTTTGCGCGATGTCTGTCGTCTTAGTGATGGGACGGGTCTTCGACCCCCTTCCCCCCGCACCACCCACCCCATGGGTTCCAAGAGCCCCTCTCGGGCCTACGCCATGGAGGCTTCTCGAGAAAGAGCTTCAGTGGGGTACTCAGATATTCTCGGCACGCCCATTCAAGAACAAGCACGGGGCGAATTCCCCTGACCAGGGAGGTGTAGCAGCATGCAGTGGAGCAGAAGGGGGCAGCCGCTGCGTCTGGAAAAGAAGGGGGAGGAGAGAGGGACGGAGGAGGACAGGAGGAGAGAACGGATGAGGAGGAGGAGGAATAAGAAGAGGATGGGAGGGAAAAAAGGCGACAACAACGACAGGAGTCAACCATCAATACCTTTGTGAGTCTTTCGCTCTGGAAGCTTTGGGGGAGCTTATTGGGGTCACTGAGGGGCCTTCTTGGGACCATTGTGGATGTCTTTGGGGCCCTGTTTGGGGCAGTGTTGGATGCCTCTGAGGCTCTCTTGTGCCCCTCTCGGCGCCTCCTTGGAGGCCTTGGGGGTCCTCCTTGAGACCATCGTGCTGGCCATCGATTAAACTAAAGGGTGCGTCAATTACGCCCCCCCCCTCCCACAGGCTACCTTGAGGCGTCTACAGCCGATCGGAAGCGAACGGGCGAAAAGACATGCTGCATACCTTGTGCTTCTTAGGTTGTGGAATGGTGTTGGCCTCTCGGAGGGTGGGTCCTTGGGATGTTCCGTGACCACTTGGAACCGTGTTGTGGCGATCGTGGGGCTTTGTGGAGGAATGATGTGAGAGGTTATGTTAAGCCATATCTAGACAGATGGTACAATATTGAAGGCAATCCTGGGCTATCGGGGGCCATCTTGGCCCATGTTGTACGCTCTGGCCCTCACGACGCCCCCCCGCCCAGACCGAGAGAGAGGGTGCAGGGGGGAGAGGTAGACATGTGAGAGGTCATGTTACACTATATCTAGACAGATGGTACAATATAGAGGCTATCAGGGGCCATCTTGGCCCATATTGTACGCTCTGACCCTCGCGCCCCCCCCCCCAGGTACACCTCTCCCCGAACCGAAGAAGAAGGACAATGAGGTTGGAAAGAGCGCGTTCTGGGTTCGCTTGGAGGGGGGGGGGTATGGAACTGGACACCACCCCCCTCTGGATGGAGGGGGGGGGGTCGAACCGCATGTGGGCCCAATCCCAACCCACTGGGCCCAATCCCAACCAACTGAGACCAATCCCAACCAGTGCGAAAAGCAAACTAGGCCCAATCCCAACCATCTTGGGATAGGCCCACAATAGGATTTTAATTGTAGAGAAGCCCAAGACGAGTGCGAAGACCAAGTGACATTCCTTATGTCAACGCACAGGATCTGGAAGCCAACATGCATGCTCGAGTTGGAATTGGTCTCAGTTTTGGTTTGCACACGAGCACTACGTTAAGATGAGCAGAGGGCACCGAAGCGTAAACATCGATTCTAAAATATGCAAATGGATCTTCCTGGTACTAGTAGTAGTAGTCGTAGTAGTCGTAGCAGTCGTAGTAGTAGTAGTAGTAGTAGTAGTAGTAGTAGTAGTTGTAGTAGTTGTAGTAGTTGTAGTAGTAGTAGTAGTAGTAGTAGTAGTAGTAGTAGTGGTAGTACTAGGAGTAGTAGGGGTAGTAGTAGTAGTAGTAGTAGTCGTAGTAGTGGTAGTAGTAGAAGTGGTAGTAGTAGAAGTACTAGTAGTAATAGTAGTAGTAGTAGTAGTAGTAGTAGTAGTGGTAATAGTAGTAGTAGTGGTGGTAGCAGTAGGAGTCGCAATCGTAGTCGTAGTAGTCGTAGTAGTCGTAGTAGTCGTAGTAGTCGTAGTAGTAGTGGTCGTAATAGTAGTAGTAGTAGTAGTAGTAGTAGTAAAAGTAGTAGTAGTCGTCGTAGTAGAAGTAGTAGTAGTAGCGGTCGTAGTAGCAGTAGTGGTAGTAGTAATAGTCGTAGTAGTAGTAATGAAAAATGAAATAAGTAGCAATTGTAGTAGCAGCAGTAGTAGTAGTAGTAGTAGTAGTCGTAACAGTGGAAGTAGTGGTGGTAGTAGCAATAAGACAAATAGTAGTAGTAGTAGTAGTAGTAGTAGTAGTAGTAGTAGTCCTAGTAGTAGTAGTAGTAGTAGTAGTAGTAGTTGTGGTAGGTAGTAGTAGTCGTAGTAGAAGTAGTCGTAGTCGTAGTCGTAGTTGTAATAGTCTGAATCGTAATAATGGTAGTAGTGGTAGCCGTAGTGGCAGTAGTAGTAGTAGCACTAGTAGTAGTAGTTGTAAACGGTGTCGTAGTCATAGTCGTAGTCGTAGTAGCAGTCGCAGTAGTAGTAGTAGTAGTAGTAGTAGTAGTCGTATTAGTAGTAGTAGTAGTAGTAGTAGTAAAAGTAGTAGTAGTAGTAGTAGTAGTAGTAGTGGTAGTAGTAGTAGTAGTAGTAGTAGCAGTGGTAGTGGTAGTAGTAGTAGTCGTAGAGGTAGTAGTAGTAGTAGTAGTAGTAGTAGTAGTAGTAATCGTAGCCGTTCTCGTCGTAGTAGTAGTAGTACTTCTAATAGTAAGTGTAGTCGTAGTAGTAGTGGTAGTAGTAGTCGTAGTAGTACTAGTAGTAGAGGTAGTAGTAGTAGTAGTAGTTGTTGTTGTAGTAGTAGTAGTAGTAGTAGGGTTGCACCTGGTCTTCGTGTCGCTACAAACCTCACCTTCGTGTACTCTTCTTTTGTATCAGGCCTAATAGAACTCCCACCAGGGGAATTACGAAAACCGTAGTTTCAAACCTGGCCTTCGTGTCTTTCGCGCCAATGCCTACCTTCGTGCACTATTCGCTGTAGAGGCTGTAGATTGGATTCGTATTAGAAAGTAAACAAAAAACGGCAGTTTTACACCTGTCCTTCGTGTCGACGTCGGATTTGGAGCAACCGCCACTGCCAGCCGCTTCATTTCGGCACAACCCTCTCGAGGATCGTGGGCCTGGCCCTCCGACGCGCGATTCCGGCGCGCACTTCACTAGGATCGTGGCCCTGGTCCAAGTGGGAGCGCTGCCGAAGGCCCACCGACGTCCAATTCCGGCACGCCGCTCACGAGGATCGTGTCCTGGCCCACCTGGGAGCGCTGCCGACGGCCCACCGATGAGCAATATCGGCGCACCCCTCACACGGATCGTAGACCTCGCCACATTTGGATCGCCGCCCGACGCTGAAGTTCGGCACACCTCTCACATGGATCGTGGCCCTGGCCCAATGTGGAGCGCTGCCGACGGCCCACCGACGCCCAATGCCGGAACACCCCTCACGAGGATCGTGGCCCTCTGGTCCACTTGAGAGTGGGTTTTCATAAGGACGTCGTTCTGGTTTTATTCGGGAAGGCATTTTGGTTTTATTCGTTTCTGGTTCGTGATGGTTAGGAGGAGGAGGAGGGAGGAGGAGGAGGAGGAGGAGGAGGAGGAAGGAGGGGGGGGAGGGGGTGGAGGAGGAGGAGGAGGAGGAGGAGGAGGAGGGAGGAGGAGGAGGAGGAGGAGGAGGAGGAGGAGGAGGAGGAGGAGGAGGAGGAGGAGGAGGAGGAGGAGGAAGAAGAGAAGAAGAAGAAGAAGAGAAGAGGAGGAGGAGGAGGAGGAGGAGCGGGGGGGGGAGGGGGAGGGAGGAGGGGGAGGAGGAGGAGGAGGAGGAGGAGGAGGGAGGAGGAGGAGGAGGGAGGGCGAGGAGGGAGGAGGAGGGGGAGGAGGGAGGAGGAGGAGGAGGAGGAGGAGAGGAGGAGGAGGAGGAGGGGGAGGAGGGGGAGGAGGAGGAGAAGGATGAGGAGGAGGAGGAGGAGGTGGGGGACGGGCAGGAGGAGGAGGAGGAGGAGGAGGAGGAAGAGGAGGGGGAGGAGGAGGAGGGGGAGGAGGAGGATGAGGAAGAGGAAAGCGAACAGGAAAAGAGGAACGTTGTTTTCTCGTTTTCCACAATGGGTTTGCGAACCTCACCTTCGTGTACTATTGGCTCTATAGCCCCTGTATTGTTTTCTTACGAGCGAACGGCGAAATTGTGGGTTTCCGAACCCCTTCTTCGTGTACTATT